CTCCCTCCTACACTGTGGGGGTCTCCATCTGCCCCCACTTCAAGCCCAGGTAGAAAGGAGACTGAAAGAAACTTACCTGCCAGCTGAGCCAGCTGTGAACCTGGCTGCGCAGGGTAGGAGTGTGCACGCCCCTCCCCCCCCACTGAAACAGCCTGCGGCCAGGCTGCCATGGGGCCCTACCTGCTGCCCTGTGTTTGGGTGGCCTAAGCCCAGTTAGCCCCCCCCCACCTCCTTCCACTGCCTATGTCCTCCAGCTCTGGCTCTGGCCTAGGACACAGAGCACATGGTATTCTGGTCCTGCCTGACCATGCAACAGCGGTGATGGTGGCAGCAACTGCAGTTGCAGCTTTGACTCCAACCTGGGGCCAGGGTCAGGGCTCAAGGAGGACCAAACCCAGAGCTGGGATAGAAGGTAAATGATGGTAAGGTGTGTGGGGGAGGGGGTGGGGAGGAAGACATGGTGTGGGGGGGACAAGTGCTAAAGGGCAAGGTGCAGGTTTGGGCGCAGGAACTGTGGAGGGGGGGAGACAGGGCATACAATCACTGGTGGGGGGCAGGCACCAGAGCAGGCAAGTGTTGGGGGGGCAGGCAGCAGTGGGTGGACAGGAGGCAGTAAGCAAGGGGCAGAGGTCAGGCCACTTGATCCCCATGCTGCCTGCTCCTTACCACCTGCCCTCCCTGCTGCTGCTTGCCCTGCTGCAGTGGTGGAGGGGACAAATCTAAGATCATCCTCTAAAAATTAGGTTCTATACATGGAAAAATAAAATAAATTAATACATTTTCCATATATAGAACTGACTTATTGATTGCCTTAAATTATCTTCCTGAATTTAGGTTAATACAGTAATTTGTTTCCATTCTCAATGATGTCTGATAAGCACCAGCCATTATTCAGGAAAAACTTGAGGTGCAATTCCAGTTCAAAAAGGAGGAACTCTACTGAAGCCAGTGGAGGGATGCTTGTATAAAGACTGGCACAGGAGGAAAAAAAGCTCACCAGCCCTGCTGCAATAGTACCATTGAAACTTTTGGAATTAATATGCCAAAATGAGACTATTCTTTTACTGACTACCAAATGCTGTACTTAAGGATCTTTCAGTTGTAGTATCAGTAAACGAAAATTTGCTAACATTGAATAAGAATTATAAATAAGAATGCTTCAATTCTTCAAATTATTTTCTATTTGATGTAACTGCTTCTATTTCTATAAAGACATGCTAGTTTAGTAATAAGGGCTGCCTCTACATGTGCAATTAATGTGATGCAATAAACTCTTGGGGCGTATTGCACTGGAGTTTATTGCTGCTGGGTGCTGCATTTACACGTGTGCCCAGGACCACAGCACATTGAGCCAGGCTGGAGCAGCCCCAGCTGGCAGTGGACCCGGTAGGGATCAGCCTGTCACTCTGGGGCTGCTCCAACCCAGGTCAATGTACTGCAGAAAGGCTGGCTGTGACATGATGATGCTCCAGTGTTGGGCTAAGCAGCAAATACCTCCCACACTGAAGCACCCTTGTGCCCTAGCCAGTCCCATCGGTGTTTACGTATGCATTGCTGCACACTAAATGATGCTACTGTAGGATAGTACTTGTGTTGACAAGTACTAACCTACGGCATCATTTATTAGTTTACTGCCGCCTAAAAGAGCCAAATGTGTAGATGCTGAGACTTTACTGTGGAGCTAATTAGGCAACTCGACAGTAAACATCTTATGTAGATGTACCCAAACAGTCCAATCTTATTTTGAATACACTACACTGCAGCACTCCCATTCAATTCAAAATGAGAAAGATTTGGCCTAACTTTTGCTGTTCAGAGCTGTTTCTCTGCAATTCACTTTTGAAAACATTTTGGACTCAGATGTTTATAAGAGCTGTGTACTGTACCCACAATCTGGCCGTTTCACAGAAGAAAACTGTATTTTATAATTTATGCACATTGCCATATATTTTTTATATTTATGGTTCTGTGGCTTCACTGGACAGAGTATACACATTGAAACTGAGCAATTTGATTTATTTAAAATTCACCTCAAAATGCATTGTGTTTAGTTTTTTTTAAAAAA